CCCCCTTAGCTATTGCTCTAAAAATAACAGAAATGTAAAAAAAAAAATGAGAAGATGAAATTTATTGGCTTAGTTCTCTGCTTCTGCCCACTGTGCCTAAAAAGCTGCCTACCACATAGATGTTGCTCCCAGTGAGTATGTGTTGAATGAAGAAAAGTAAGTTGAGAGTGTATTCTGTGCCGCTGGACACCCTTTGTTAAAATCATTTTTGTAAGTCTCAATAGCAATTTTATTTCAGGATTCTGCTAATGTGCTTCTACAACTAGAACAAATGCAAGAATGAGGGAGGAATAATTTCACAGCATGAAGCAATGGAAGTAGTCACCATAGCACACCCTTTAAAAAAGCCACCTTTCAAGATATCATGGAGGTCACATCACCTGTCCAAACCTATTCTCTGTTAAGCACTGGTGATGCTTTGACTATGCTAGGTACATAACAAAGAAGTCCCAGTGAAGCTAACACCATAGTAAATTTCTAAATTGACCAGTTTTACATGAAGGCAGCAGTGCCTCAAATACCACACATTCTCTAAGAGTATATGGAACACACAGGTAAATTCTTCTCCCACCCTACCATATGATAAAATATCGTGCTGTAGCTAACACCTTGGTGGGACATTTTTCTCAAGTACATGAAAGTATATAGGTCACGGGTTCCAAACAGCTGATTTGGATTAGGTGACACTTTTAGAAATGCAAAACCAAAGATTTTCCCCATCTGTCTCCCTTCATTCAGATTCCAAGCATCTCTGCTAGGGTTTTTGACAACACCATGTCCAAGCATATTCCTTGAGATATCTGCATTTAGAGCTAGAGATTGATTTGTTTTCTAAATGTGGCAACATCTTTAGCTTAATCTTGTGTGTTCTAAAAATTCATTGGACTTTATTAAAAATAAAGTCCGTCATTTTAGTGAGACACTGCACAGGCCATAGCTGCTGAAAGAGTCCCACAAATCTCAGGCATTGGGAACCCCCTCTGCTGAGACAGAGCAGAATCTGAAATAAGGGCATAACATTTAGCCACTAATTAACTTGAGGAATTTGGATTTAATTTCTTGAGACTCCTTATTGTAAAGAGGAAGATAACAAATATAGACTTTAATTTCTTTGAACTTCAACATATTTTGATTTTAACATGCAAGAGGATTTAAATATTTACTTATTACTCCTAGGGGATTTTTAAAGGAAGAGAATTTATAGTCAGAAGTGGGGCATCTCAGTATTGTTGGATTTAATGATTGAAGTAGTTTTATAGATTTTATTACCAGATATCCAATCTGTCATTTAATCTTCCTGCAGAACCTCTGATAGACTGTGTTGGATAATATGATAGACATAATTTAGAATAATTAGAAGAAAGGAAAGTATCTTCTGAGTATAGTGTGGTCTTGAAGTCAATTGAATTAATGAACTATTTTCATTCATTTTGCTATCTTTGGGTGATATTGCCATTGGAGAAGATCCATATAGAAGGAATGATTGGCATTGGGAGAATGACTTCATCAAATGTCATTTTAGTAGATAGCTAATTTTGATTAAAATCCATATTTTCACCATAGACAACTGGTTATGTAGAATGAATGGGTTAAAAATATAAAAAATCTGGGGACTGATGCAGGAGGAGTTTCTTTAATCTAATTCTTAATATCAGTTTAATGTGGAGTGTATAATTATCTCTGTCTCACTCCATCCTTCCCTCACTCCTCTCATGTGGTACGAATTATCCAGTTTTGGAGAATTTCAAATGAAATTTTTGAATGAGAAATACATAGTTTCATCCCTTTCCCACCCTTCTTCTTCGGCACTGCCAGAAGCAAGTGTGTCATTCTATTCTTCCCATCCATGTTGTAAGTGTTACAGGGGCAGCTCCCTCAGTTAGAACTTACATTGTCTGGTCTTCCTTGAGAATGGCACAGAATCTCTCCTTTTGGTGTCCCTTGTCCACAGATGCATGACACATTTTCCAATATTAACTTTATAGCCATAGAATAATCTGTCATCATCTGTCTTTCTTTCTTAAACTTTTTTTCTCAAATGGCCTGAATTTGGGAAAGGATAAAAGTATAATTGATTGTTTCCTCAAATCCTAAGGCTACAATAGGGTATTTTGTTTCTTAGCTAAAAAAAGGAAGTCAGGACAATTTGTCACTTCTCAGAGCATCTCCCTGAGCTCAGTGGAAAAGAAAAATATTATCCATATAATTGTTATAAAAATACACTGTAACTAGGAAATATAAATGTTCTCAATTTGAGGAAATGGATAACTATTTATGAATACAATTAAGTGACTAATTAGAAATGTGGGGATTATTTCAGCAGTGCTTGAGGTATATTTAACTCTGACCTCTAGCTCTGGGACTGTTTCAGCTTCATTAAGCTGCCATAGCTATACTTAATCTATTCCGCTATGTTGCAAATGTTTATTTTTCCACATTTCCAGCCCATTAGCATCTCTAATATAACATGGGCTCTTACAACCACTCTCAGTCTCATAATTAGTGAGTATTGTTTGTCAAACACCCCCAACATCCCTGTGTTCAGGAATCAGAGGAAAGACCTTCCCAGGAGGTAGGTTTGAGGTAACTCGGGGCCAGGTAACGCAGTCAGTGCCCATACAGAGATAAAGATGTTTTGTATCTTCTTTGTGCCATAAGAGAATGAACCAATACCTTAAACATGTTGGCATTTCTATTCTGAAAAGTTCTAACCTGGAGAGAAGATTATAAGAAATATGCTAAGTGGCTTCAAGTGTTTCAAAAAAGTTTGTAGAGAGTCCTTGTTCCAAGATGTTTCAAAAGAGAAATAAGAATAAATGGGTGGAATACATAAGCTGAAATACTTGAGCTTAATGAAATAATAACTTTTTAACAATTACAGCTCTAAAGCCATGAAATAAGCTGCCTTTGGTAATAGTAAACTACTTCAAATCATCTCATAGTGCTGTTGTCCAACGAATTCCTACTCAGACTGTAAAGTCAGACCAAGCCCAGGTGAACTTTGAGAATCTATGACTCTATGAAGGTTTTTCCCATAAACAAAAGAAGGAAATTTGAATTCAGTTTTTGGAGGAGAAAACTTTAATATATTTTATCTTATTATACATTTTCCCTAAATTACAAAGTCAATTGCTGCAAATATATTCTGCTACAAAGCTTTCTGTAAGAAATATCTCTATAAGAAAATACATCTCATTAACATTTCCTGTAAATAAATTACTTCAAATAATAATTTTTGAAGGGATGTACATAAGGGAAATAATGCAGAAACCAGATTGAAAATGTAATTGCTATATAAAAAAATGTTTGACTGAAATGTTTCATTCTCATGTTGCCAAGCTTATAGAAACCTATTTGTACAGGCTTTGGTTCTTGGATAGATTAGTTTATAATTTTTGTTTTAAAAGATATGTGGAGAAAACATAAATCTTAATCATCCTAGTAAATATGTGTGGGAAGCTGAAATTCTTAATACACATGCAGGCTCAGGTTCAATTTCTATTGAGAGAACTTGAATTTGAGACTGCAGATGAGGTTTAAGTAAAAGAAAATTAAGGAGTGACTTTCAGTCTTTAAAAGAAAAGGTCAAAAGTAACAACTATAACTTTTTTTTTCCTTATGCTTTGGACACAATATTTAGAACTGAGTAAAGTAAAAAAGTAACAAAATGGTTTCAAAGTATTGAGAACCTGGGGTTTTTATGGATTAGCAATATGTAGATTTTAAAAGTTATTTCATTTATATATTTTATTATCTCAATGGCTGCAAAAACAGAAACTATATCTTTGGCAAAAGCTGTTATAGATAAAGATGGTGCAGAAAAATCAGGTGGTGCCACCGGCCAGTTAGAAGCTTATCAAGGACAGTGGAACCTTATTATGCACTATCTGCCTTGGGAGTTGATTTCATGAGAACTTCTCATTTTATTTTAGGACCTCAAAAATATAAAAAATATATATTTGAGGTCAAACAGTGACCTTACACTGAACTCATCTGTGTGATAAATATTGAAACAGCAACCACGGAAATTTCTATTTAGGTTGTGCAGCCTTTGGCTTCAAATATAAAAAGTCATTTTGTGCTTTAGACATATGATCTGTGTGCTGCCAAAACCTAGATACTTGACAGTTTCCCCCAGTTCCTTGCTGTGTTTCAGTGCAGGCAGATACAACTCCAGTCGCTATTATCAGCTTTACCCTACTATACTGCAGAGTACGTAAAGAATAAATGTATTTACCAGTCTAATTCTATCGAAACATAGGGAATGCCAAAGCTTTAAAAAATAATGATCTCTATTAGCTTTGTTTCCCACATATTTTGGATATCTTAAAAAAGATTTGCACATCTGTGAAAATTCTGCTCTGTGCTATTCATGATTAGTGGGATAGGTTGGAAAATAAAATATATTCAAGGTAGTAATCATATACAATCAAGAAAGATGCAATGTTATTTCTTTAGACTTTTAATGAACTACTTTTGCCTTCTTATGCCAGTTCTTACTAAGTATAGGTGAAATTAAATTTTGAAAAATATAAATAAGAAATTTTGGGAAAAACAAGTTTGCATTTTTCTAAACACTTTGATAAAAGACCTGCAATAATCTGAAATTATTTGGAAAATACTATGTTTTTTTCTTATCTAAAGGCCTTTAATTGAGCAGTAGAAGCAATGTTCCAAGTTAAAAGGTGATTCTGTGTTGCAAATTTACTATGCTCCATATTTTCATTTTTTATTTAACAACTTTTTTTTATGTTCTAGAGCCTATTGTACACCAAGATATACTGGGAGTATTTTATTAAACTATAACTTTGAATAGAAATATGGCTTTGGGTTATTTTATAGACGATCACCAATCTGAAGGAAACTGATCCTTCAGCACAACCTAAACTTTTGGAAAGTCATGGTATATGTCAGTAATTTTCACTGTGCTTTTTTTTTTCAGTAACTGCATTTTCACAAATGTGTACATTATTTACATAAACGACTTGCATAATGGAAAACACTGGTTGTACTACATTTGTCACCCTTTCCAATCAGCTCAGTTCTCTTTTTCTTTCTCTTGCTCACTCTGTGATCTATATACTTATCATGTTCCTTATTTTAACCATTCTTCTGAGATTCAAATTCTATTTTCCACCATGCTGTGATGCATTAAATGCACAGATTCACAGTCTGTTCGTGATGCTTTTCTTCTAAGGTGATTATATTTTCTGACACACATGGAGTCTGGCTTTGGAAGAGTAGGTAGCATCTTTCCACACTTTACAAGACAGACCCTTGGCACAGTCACACCGCTGGAAAATTTCCAGCCCATGAGAGCCCTTCTTGCGCTGCTTGGTACAGACTTCGCCCTGATGGAGCACCGGTTTGCAGATTTTGGTCCAGAAGTGACGAGCACAGCAAAACCCTTCAACACAGTCTGATGATCTTAGGCAGGGGTCTCCTTCATGCCCTATAGAGGTGATGATCAAAAGATATTACCATGACACTTTAGAAAAAATTTTACTTTGTGATCTGTAGAACATAAATTACTTTTACTTATGCTATCTTCCATTATGTCTTAGATTCACATTGACTGGCTCTCTCTAATCATGTAAATCCATTCTTGTTTATTTCCATATTTGCTGTCTAAATATCAGGTTTAATAAATAGCTAGACTGTACTTCATCTTCTCTTTACTTTATCTTGGTCTGCTTTTGATATTTCTGTGATCATTATTATCTTTTTCCTAGGTGACTGAAAAATAAGTAAATAAAAATAATTGCTTTCAAATTAATTATTTTGATACCCTCTTGAAAGGTGTAAATGAACTCTGATTTGAGGAGAAGGCTGAAATTCTCAGATTCCTAAGATCATGTGTCAGAGTCTCGCCAGGAAGACAGAAATCAATTGTTCAAAACAGAAGATATTTAATGTGGAGAACTGGTCACACAGATAGTGGCAGGGCTAATAAGTATCAGAGGATGGATGGCATAGCAACACAGCAGGAGCCACTACCTCCCTCTTCGGGCTGGAGGATCCAAAGAAGCAGTTGATGGCAGAATTGGGAGCTGGAATCACTAGCTGAGATGAGAACTCAATAGGCCTGACTGGCAGGACTGAAGCCCCAAGGAGATAGAGCTCTGCCAGAAATACCGCCAGAGGTAGAGTGAACATGTCAGCTTTTTCCTTCTTCTGCCCTCCCAGTCTCTTACCACAGCCAAACCCAGGTGGCCAAAGACCCCCTGGGAGGGAGCCTAGGAAATGCAGTCTATAAAGTGCTGTGATACAGAAAAAGGGCAGATGGCTCCAGGGTCAACCAAGAACTTATCATAAAATAAAAAAATGCATAAAACACGTGGAATAAAAAATCTGGGTATTTATCTCAGAAATAAAAAAAAGATTAAATTAGCAAAGAGCACCCATACATCACAGTTGTTGTATAACCTGTGTAAAGATGGGGTCAACAAACTCCTCTGTAATGTCCCAGACTGGAAATATTTTTGGCTTACTAAGTCACAACAACTCCATTCTGCTGTTGTCTCACAAAAAATAGCCATAGATAATGCCTAAATGAATGAGCAAATCTGTGTTATAGTAAGATTATTTACAAAAACAGGCACAGGACAGATGTGGCTCACAGGACTATAATGTGTGAACCCTGGTCTAACGGGTCATCTGTCATCCCAGACTTAATCAATCCCACTGTAGGATGTGGACACAACTCATTAGCCATCAGCATAAGGGTTCTTCCTACTTGCCATTGTAAAATTATACATAGAATTATACAAAGACAATTAGAAAATTTGAAAGTGTGTTATGACATAAACATCTGTTGGAATAAAGAGGTATACTCGTACTAACAAATGCATGTGGATTTTGTAGAATAGCAACAAGATACATGGGTAAAGGGTCTTTAGACAGTGTAGACAAAGGATAATTGAAGAGGAATTGTCATTTACTAGCATTATCCACATAACCATTAGTATTCCAGGTCAGGCTAAAAGGTCAGATATTCTATATGACACCATCTCTGTAGAACCTGAAAATATGGGGAAATGGTTTTGTGGTCAAGCAAGTTAGAGAAATACAGTATTTTAAAAACTTAACCAGTCTACGGCCATGCCACCCTGAATGTGTCCTATCTCGTCTGATCTCAGAAGCTAAGCAGGGTCTGGCCTGGTTAGTATTTGGATGAGAGACCACCAAGAATACCAGGTGCTGTAGGCATTTTAAAAAAAAAAGTTAACCAGTCTTCCTCATTACTAAACTTTTCAGAGCCTTCAATATATCAAAAATAGGAAGATACATTATTATATAACTCTTGTCATAGGGCACTTTTATTCACAGAATGCCGTGAAAAAGTAGTGCTCCAAACAATACACTTGCAAAAAGCTTCCTTTAAAAATGGATTGTTTCATGGCTTCAAACTTGTACTATTAGTAAGTAAATTCCATAATTTTATACTTTTGAATTTTATTATTACTGATTAGTCTTCTCAAATATTTTGATACAAGCAAGGGTATTTTCTGGCCATACATAATCTCACTAAAAATGAATTATTTTAGTTAAGCTGGTTTTTGAATAGTATGTTTTCTGGTTGTTTAATGAAATGAAATTTCTGAATCTGAAGGTGAGAATAAAACTCAAAAACTTAGTGATTTAATCATGTGGCAGCAAACGTTTTCCCATTTGTTTTTCAGAATGCTTTATCCTTTGGCATGTGACAGACATGCTTATTTAGGAAATTTCTTCTACATTCTCTGTAAAAGGCAGGACTGTTGAGAAAATGGCATGGTTAATCATAGCACTGCTATTCTTGTAACATATATTTTCTAATAATTTAAGATTTCTAAGAACCCTCTAAGCATCACCGAAATTAAGAATTAATAAATTCAGTTAAAATCTTGCTTTTAAAGTATCTTTGTATTTTTTCTAAAACCAATGGAATTAATTATCTATATTTTTCTTTACTTCTTCATAAAACAAGGAAAAGTAAACAGAATTACAGATATCCCTACCTTTTATATGTGACATCTTAGTGTGTGGTCTTCCTAGATTCTGCCATCCCAGGTCGTGGTTTGAGTAATGACCATGGTTTCGATCTCTGTGCCGAGTGCCATCCAGAGCTGGGATGTGAGGGGTTAAGATGCTCTCAGTGACTGGGATGCAGATGCCTGGAGATGGTTAGATAAGCGGTTAGTCTTATTCAACTCTGTACAATGTGGTTCTTATCCAAGTATTCACCTAATTTGAGGTATGAAGCCATCTATCTATCTCTCTATCATCTATCTATTCATTCATCCATTTCTTATTTACATATTTATTGAGACTGAGTATTAAATAGTTTGGTTCTGACCAGGTTTCCTTGATTTGAATCTTGTCTCTCTCAAGACCAAGTGACCTTGGGCAATAATAGGAATTAAAACAGGATTTATTTAATTAAGTTATTGTGGATACATGTGAAGTACTTTGAATAGTGACATAGTAAAGTATTAAATTAATATTAGCTATTAGTACTTTAAAATTGTCTAACCAGACATCTGTCTTAGGGATTCAGGTCTCATTGTTCGGTCAACAACACAATCCCAGTCTACACTATAAACATCTCTAAAGGTATGAGGTCTGCTTCCCTTCACCTCCTGACCAAGGTATTTGCAGAGGTCAGGAACAAATATAGGAATATTGTATGACTAAGTATATGTTTCTAATCACCTTCTGCAATTATTTACCAGTTTTATCATGTGTTTTCTCTGGTTCTTCGTTTTATTATTAATGCTGAATTTGTACCTATAAATTCATTGAGATTAGGTGAAGCTATGCTGGTGGCATGGCTGGTGGATAAACTCCTATGTCTCATTTTGGAGGAACCAATCACTCCATCACCATCTGTGTGTGCCACGGGGGGAGGCCTTCATAAAGGACACCTCGAGTATAAGAATCAAGGTATAAAACTGAAACTGGTATAAAATAGCAAGATGGACTCACAACTGTATTGCTAAATCATAGCAGATTTCTTTCTTTGGTTCTTTTGCATGTGTTTAGTTATAGATTTAGTGAAATAAAACATCTAGCTATTTATATGCAACTCTTCAACATGGCAAATACTAGCTCAGCATAGATTATTAAATACAGAAGGTAATTAGAGTTTAGGAAAATTAAGATTTGGGAGATAATTCAGGAAATCCTACGCAGATCTAAACCATGATTGAATTCCTGTCACTTATAAAAGACTCCTTACATTTCAGGAGTCTAAGAAGAAGGCAGCCTAACTTACTAGCCAGGACTCCTATATGAAAAGAAAGAGGCCCATCAACACTGAGCAAGATCTTTACCATTATTGCAGCGGGTACCAGGACAACACATGCCGTCTCTATGGCAGCGTTTCTTTTTCCTTCGACACACCATGCAGGCCGACGATCCTTGGTGGGGACTGTGGCAATATCTCCCAACTTCACATTCCTTATCACTGCTACAAGGGTAGGCCTGTCATGAAGTGGAACAATACCAAAAGCAAAGTAGATTAGACATTTTAACATTTATGAAAAGTTACTGCCACAAATTATGATGGAAAATAAGTCACAACATGTGCCTCCTCAAAGTGTACCATTGTAATAATGTTCTGAGCAGAGGTTCCACATACATAGTGACACTTGAGGACCTTGTAAATATTGATTGTTGATGGTGAAAAAGATCAAGTTGACACTATATGTTTTCATTGACACAACCTTGGAGTTAAAATTTCGACTTCGTGTTACTTAGTTGAGCCCTTAAGCATGACTTTGGGGGCTCAGAAATAGTTGTAATAGTTATATTGCCACAGATTTAAGGTGTGACTGAGTCGGCCTAGCCACTCTGATTTTACTTGCTAAACTAGGATGCAGAAAGGGATAAATAAAACAACAAAGGGCTGTGCTAGAACCTAAATAACACATCTGCCCAATCATGGAACAAATATTATGAGCAACTGCTCACAATTTCTGCCTGTGAGGAGCAAAGGGGAGACCGCTTCTAATTTGGTGATGAACGGCAGCAGCAGCGTTGTTCTGAGTGGTCAGAGAGCTAAGTGCCAGGTACACCACCATGTTCTCAGGAAACAGAAAAAGCAGGCTCCTGACATATAAGAATAGCCCTATGGGCTACTGCACCTTCAAGTTATACAGAAAAGACTTCTGTTCCTACATTTCTCTACCAAGTTATGTGTTCAGAAGGCTACTTAAGCAGTGTCATATCATCTTACAAAATAAAAACATATTCTACATTATGTACTCCTTGCCTGTTGGAAGTCATTGGAACACCTAAAATGTTCCTGAGGGACAACTCTCGGGGACTGAGAGTTGATAAACCTAAATGTCACACTACAGACCAAATTTACTCATATTTTGAGACATGTTGACAAGGAGACTTGTTTGTCTTTTTTTTTTTTTTTTTTTGGTAATTCATTATTTCCCCTGATTTTTAGAGTAATGCATGGTTATTTTTTTAATTGAAAAATACAAAAATTAAAAAAAAAGAAGTTATGCAGTTGTTTTTAAGCAATCATAAATGATATAATAAATGATATGAATATAAAACAATGGGATAAAATATTTGTGACTCAAATAATTAGTGTGATGTGAATGCTTTACTTATGCCATGAGGTTTGATGGCCTAACTCTGCATGCAGTGCTTATTTCTCTTCTCCTTCTCTGTCTTTCTCTTTCTTTCTTTTATTGTTTTTTCCATCGTCTTTTCTCACCAACCCTTCTCCTGCATATGTGTATAGACATTATGTGTATACATTCAGCCCCCAAGTGTTTTTCATTTAGATTGGAATATCTTCAGTTAGAGTAAATAAATATGAAATTGATGTGAGTCAGAAAACTTTACATGTTGTTCCGTGAAAACAACATACTTTTAGCATCATTACAATTTACAGTTTGCTCTCAAAAGAAAATAGAAAATAAAAAAAAAACATTAACTTTAAATTGAGAGTGCTTTTGAAAGATTGTACAGTGGCAATATTTGATGCTTATATTATAATTGGAGCCAGATAAAGCTATAAAATGATTTGCATATGATTGCTTCACTATGGAACCCCATTATTAGACATATGGGAGAAGCTGAATGAAGTTGAATTCAGAGTACTACTCAGTTTTTTAAGAATCCCAAACCGATGAAAACAAAACAAATGTCACTTCCTGACTTGC